AAATGATAGGATACCATTGGAAGCAGATATTTCAGGACAAGTCCGGATTTCAACTTCAGTTTCGGAATTCGTATAGACGTAATTTTCTTCCGATATACGTGATGCAGAAAACGATGAAAAATACGAATCGACCTTTCGTACTTTCGAAAGAACTTTATTCTCTCGATCCAATTTTTCTTTAGACAATTTTCGATACTTTGCACCACTTAATTTAGCACGTGAACTATTCATGTCAATTACGTAGATTTAAACTTGTAACTTTGTAAAATATCACATTATATTCTTCTAAAGCACGATACGTTTCGAAGCGCTCGACGTGTTTGGACAAATTTTCAGTTCTCATTCTAGACAAAGGGTGTTTTCCATTTACAAGCACACACCGTCTCTGCCCGTGTGTAAATAAAATAAAAAGAACCGAATTTATTTGTTTTAAACATTTTTCATTTCAAGCAGCGTTGCCACGTTTCATCTAGAGTCCCTAGAGTAGAGAGTCTGGATATACGGGAATCCGCGTGATTGGTGCACGTGACTTGTGCTCACACAATGGCAGCACCAATACGGAACCTTGCTCACTCAGCGCGAATGGTACACTGAGAAAAAAAATTTGTTAATTTAAAAAAATATTAGTTGATTCAACTAAATGCGGCGGTCACGGGCTGTCAAGCAAATATTTGTTAATTCAAAGACATGTCATGTTGAGATAAGTGAAAGAAGTAGTTCTGTGAAAGTAATAATCGTTTATTATAATAACTATTTGATTGACTTAAGGTAGATGTAGTCTGTCTAAATGTAAATGTCATTGATACTACAAATTTGTTTTTTTCATTGAATGTTATGTTTATCGAGAAGACGGAGTATGTAGTTCAATGAATAAAACATTTTGTACAATTAAAAGAGTAATTAGTTTGTTTAAATGTATATATTGTTGTATTAAGCAATTATTTTGTTATCTGTAACTGATGTTGAATTCAAGGAAACTTATATTTGTTTATTTGAAATGTATAACGTTTTCTTTCAATTATATATCACATTGAGAGACAATTATATTTTGTTAAATAGAAAACATATGCAGTCAAATAAATAAAATATTTAGTATTTGAAAGTGTATGTTCTATTCAAGGAAAATAATATTTGCTCCATTGAAATGTATAAAGTTTTGTTCAGATCAGATATTAGGTTGACAAACATTTATATATTATTGATTTGATTAAATATACAGTCCAGTTGACTACATATTTAGTTGATATAACTATATTTGTAGTGCATCTATGGTAATATTTTGTTATTTTAACTAAGCGATTAGTTATTCTAACTAAATGTACTCTTGACCGTTGCAAATATTTCGTTGAATTAAATAAATTTTTACTTGCATTAATAACATGTTTATTCTTGCTGAATATGAGATTTAAGATGATAAATCTACTACTCCTCATGTGCAGATAAAAAAGATCAAAATGAAGAGGACACTTCTATAATATTTCGCAATGTTCGTAATAATTATGAAGATAGTAAATTACAAAATTGTTGAAAGTGCATACGTCCAAGTTTTAAAAACATATCTTTTAGTCCATATCCATACAGTATATCCTTTCAAACATATTATAGATGCACTTTCAGCAATTTTTGTAATTTACTGTCTTCATAATAACTATTACGAATATTGCAAAATATTACTGAAGTTTTCTCTTCATTTTCCCTCTATCTGCACATAAGGATTAGTAAGTTTATTGTCGTAGACCTTATGTACCTAGAAAGAATGAACCTTGATTAATACAAATGAAATTTTATTTAATTAAATATAAGAATATTTCCTATGATTTGCTATTATAAAACATTCTGTATATTATATTTATGTTATCATGTGCATTTAATCTTTTGTTGCACATTTTTTCTCATGTTTCTGATTATTTAAAATATGATTTTAAATTAGGTTTATTAGAGAGCAGAGAAACCTGCTTTATCATTCCAGCAATATGAAACATGCTAAAGGAATACGTAAACAATTTGAAAAAGTTGAAAAAACTTGGATAATGGGTGTTATACCTGTACAGCTATACAGCAAAAGATTAAGAACACTTCCGATATGTTATAATTAAAGAAACATGATATATATTTTATATGTATAGCATTCATTTTTTTGCATTCATTTATTTTAAATGTAAAACAGTTACACGTATATTTTAAAATATTATCACATACTTTACATATATGTTGCATTGACCTAATAATTATAATCACATATAAACTGAAAATAAACAATATATAATTGAATACCTCAATTTGTACAAAAACTTTGAATTGCGTGATATACCTAATATAATTTCACGACGTGAATCTTACATAGCATGTTAACATTGCGCGTCTCTTAGTATATATATAAAAAAAGAATTTACATACAGGGTACATAATATTTTCCATCTGCCATTAAATGTTTACTATTAGGAACAAAAGAAATTAATTTGGAATGAGCAATGCAACTCCATATTTCTGTTTGCACAACTTCGAACGCATGAATATGTTTAGAAAATCTTATAGTGTCCAATTTTTTATAAATATAATAAACACATTGGCTTGTATTTGTTATAATGTAACAAATAATGCCAAAGAAACGAAATGTACCATCTGTACTTATTTCTAAGATCATACTAGGTTTATATATTGTTCCGTTAATATTGAGCCATGACACAGAAAAATAATTTTCGTTAATATCTTCAAATAGTATATGCTTAATATTGTTGTAATTATGTAATTGTTGTATAGTAGTGTTCAAAACATTACCTATAGAGAAACGTTTTTCGAAGCCCTTATTATTAATGAATCGATGTGTTAATTGTAATTGATGTTTTAACGCTAAAGTGTATGGTGGATTTAACCGAGATGTAATAACTTTAGCATATTGTTTAATTTCTTTGTGTTTAGCCTCAAAACGTATACAAGATAGGTTTCTTAAAGGACCCATTCTCATTATTATTCGCGGATAATGTATTAAGAAATGATGCTTGGGTTTTAACGGTTCTTTGAACAGACTTAAATATAATTGGTGATGTTCTGCAATTAGATTTTCGAGTAATTTACAAGTATCCTTAGTTGATGTAGGTTCCATAATTATACATATAATTTCTCTCAGAATCGTATATAGTTCCCAAATTTTACTTTCGGGAGGTATCAAATCACCAATCATTAACCCTAGGAACTTAACAAGAGTAAACATTTCAGATGCCGAAATCACAAGACATTCGTGTTTTAATGATAATTTAGTAATAAGGGGCGGAATATTTTTATTATTACCAATAGGATAATCAAAAAAACGTATTCTGTCATTCAGAGTATTTAAAGAAAATGTTCCTATATTTATTAAATTATTTAAAACTTTTGCTATTTCATATCGGCAGATGCCTTCAAAGATGTCATGCATAATATCGAAACATATATTATCAATGACATGAAAACTTGAAATTTTGTTGAAAACACATTCTTCCTGAATACCATTAACAAGTGCAGAACAGTCATTAGCGTAATTTAAACGTGTTCTTAGTAAATCTGAATTTTCTGATATTTGCATTTGAAGAGTACTTTTATCAACTAAACAGGCTCTGCACGAATATGTTGAGTTAAAACTTGTATTAAAACCAAAAATCGTATGGAGTCCTAAATTGTCTCCAATAATTCCTACTAGAGCAAAATATATTGTCTGTTGTCTGCCATGAATGTTTATAAGTAAACCATTGGTTTCTAAATCTTGAATTTGATTTATTATATTTAAAAATGTATTTTTATTTCCTAACTGCGAATGATCTTTCGCATTGTGTAATTGAAATAAAAAGATATTTTCAAGAATACTGAAGTATTCATTTGGAATACATGGAATAGTGCAATATACAACACCAATTTTATGTATTCCACTGTGGGATCCAAGAGGATTGTTAATCTCGAAATCATCAAAATATAATAAGAGAGGTAAAACAAATTTTTCTGAAAAATGTTCTTGAATGTGCTTCCACACTTCACCATGAAGAATAGAACTTAATATGTCGTTATTTTTTTTTTCATATATCTCTTTAGTTATCGTGTCAAATACGTTTGATAATTCCAAAAATTGTATAAAAAACTGTCTTAAAGGAATAACTTGTATAGTTCTGTTACGTATACCTATACTTGTACACATTTTTCTACGTTTTGAACATAATGTTGCAGCAATATTAATAGATAGTGGCATGATAAGATACCCGTGTTTTATAAAGTACTGCAATGTTTTATGTTCAGTTTCGAACTGTAGGAAAATATTCTGTATTATTATGCACATATCATTAATATCAGATACATTTCGGTTCCCTTGGCATTCAAGTTTATGTTTGATAATCTCAATAGTAGATTTGTAAAAGTTGCTTACAAATTGTATTATTTTATGCACTATTAATCGTGATAATGTAATATCAGCATATAATTTTGAAACTAATAAAAGAGCACTTTTTGTAACAATAATATCAAATTGTTGTAACGACATTGATGGATTATTCATTAATTCTTTACAAACATTTGTTGATAACAAATCTTTGGAATTAGTATACTGTGTAAACCTATCATCCATACTTTTGACATTTTCACTAAATAAATGCAATTCTGGCGTAACAGAAACTTTCGTGTCATTTTCATTGAGATGTTTTACCATTAAATGCCGTTTAAATGAGTAGAGTGTTACAAAGCTACGCGTACAATTGTCTTGTTTGCATATAATAGTAGACAAAGATGCACCATGCGCCAATTTTATATGTGCTATAAGAAATTTGATTGTAAGAGTATTATGAGCACAGTATGGACACTTATACATGATATAACAGAAATATTACAATAAAATACTTTGTACTGTTATATATATATATATATATGAGTTTTAATCAACTTAAAAATTTGTGAATAACTTCAAATAAAGCTTAAAACAATTTTAATCAAAGATACGCAACAATAGAACGTAACATAAAAATGTGAAAAATATTGAAAGATTAATCATCTGTGGAGTGAGACTTATCGTTAGTTAAAGTATTTATAATTGGCATCACATATGAGATTTGTTTATCGGACTTAGTCGAGAACTTATACAGACAGAGCTGTATTATGTTCCATATATGCTCACTTTCTGGCGGATAAGTAACGTCAAAGACATGAAATATTTTGAAACACAAATCAATTGCTGCTAGCGCTGTTGAAACTTGATAGAGTACCTTATCAATACAAACATAAAATGCGTTTACTTCCGCAAGGGTACAGCCAACAACTATTATATATGGTTGTATTGTTAATCTTAATTGAAGTGCTCTCTTTTCCTTTTCTTCTTGAATACGATTTATATCTCCATGAATCTATAAATAAAATTATATGTATATTTTTTATAAAATTTTATTAAAATTCACATGCACGAATATTTCAAACGTAAATTGATACCTTTGCATGTAATATGATACTATCTTTACATTCACTTATTGATGGTTTATAATGTTCTTTTTTCACACGAATTCTTCCTTTTGGAGGTATCAGATGGGGCAGTAATAAAAATTGTATTATAATTTTTGCATCTGGAAACATAAATATATGTATATGTAATAAATACTTCATGACTTTATTTATAATTTTTTGTGTCATAAACTTATTGTCCATTAAATCGTCAGTTTCGAGTATAGAACATAATTCGATCGCAACTTTATCTTCTTTTAAAGGACAAATTTTCTGAATCTGAGAAAAAAATTTAAACCAATTGTCCACGCAATTCTCTGATGTTAATTTTAAGAATTTGAAATCCTCATCAATCAAGAGGTATGCCGAAGGATGCTTCAAAATAGGCCAATTAGCAAAAATATCAGAAATGCTTTTATTTGAGGATGACTGAATTTGATTTCGTCTGTATGATGTAGAAACTTTCCAGTGATTTTCAACTAACTGCCAAGGTGATAAATTAGTTTGGAGCCACAATACACTTTCAGGCACCTCGATTTCATCTGCACGTTTAAGTTATATATATATATATATATATATATATACACACAGTTAGTTAAGTATGTTCCCATACTCAACAGAGCGATTCTTTGGTTTATTTCAAGTAAAAAAGTCCATATAAACATGTTTCCTAAACGGCTTAGTTTCCGAAATAAAAAAATTTAAACGTGTAGTAATAATCTGTTTATCTGAAAGAAATACAACTTGAACTTGTCAAAAACTAGTCAAAAACAGGCTTTAATTCTTCTGATGAAATAAAACAGGCATGATGAAACCGATTTTGATGGATTGAAACAATTTGGCCCGAAAACGTATGTACAAGCTATCTGACCCGCAGCAACATCAGGACTGAAGTCTATTTTTGATTTTGTGACTTTGACTTTGACTTTGTCACTTTGTTTATGGTTGTGCGAATGGTAACTCACGTGAAGCAAGGCATATTTATGCAGGAAAATATCTCCAATTTATCGTTTCGTCAAACATTTGCGAACGTTCACCTGTATTTCAGAAACTAAGCCGTTTAGGACACATGTTTATATGGACTTTTTTACTTGAAATAAACCAAAGAATCGCTCTGTTGAGTATGGAAACACATTTAACTAACACCCTGTATATACAGGGTGTTCCATGGGATTGTGTTGAAATTAATCAGCTGTCATTTTCAAAAGTATTCAGTTATTGAAAAAACAAAAATTGCGCTGAAAAGAAGAAAGTCTGCAATTTTTAATGAGTATAAATGAAGTTTAACAGAATGTTTGTGTGTCAATTAATTTTATTAATGAAGAATTATGCTAAAAATCAAACAAGCGCTATTTTTCGAGGTGTGCATCATCTAAATTTTTACAAAACACTATTTTTTTACGAAACCTCGTAAACATTTTTTCTAACATATCGTTTTTAGTATTGCTAATAACTTTTTAAATAGATGCTACTAAATCTGAAGCTGTTTTTTGATCTTAAAGCGATTTTATATATTTAGCGTTTACTTGATTTTAATTTTAGCATAATTTTTCATCAATAAAATTAATTGATACACAAACATTTTGTTAAACCTTATTTATAATCATTACAAATTGCAGACTTTCTTCTTTTCAGCGCAATTTCTTTTCAATAACTGAATACTTTCGAAAATGACAGCTGATTAGCTGTCATTTTCGAAAGTACAACACAATCAACATAACATTTATTCAATTATTAATTAAAATGTCTGAGTTAATGAGTGCATGAGATGCCTAGGATGTTTAGGCATATATAAAGAAAGAATACTTTTCCGAAAAGAAAATGACTTACTCCTCAAATATTCTTAGCGGACTGCATCAGTTAATAGCGAAAAACGGCGTCATGCTGCGTTACTCCATTGTTCACTATGTGTTAACACCTAAGGAGTGTTTTTTCGTCATCCAACCAGAAGCGACCGCGATTAAGGCTATTTTCGTCTTCAGGGATCAGAAAACGAAGACAGCCTTAGTCGCGATTGCTTTTGGTTGCATAACGAAAAAACACCTCTGATATTATTCGTTGCAAGAAATAAACTGTTTTTTCTTTCATCGGGAAGTCTTTTTTTCACATGTATCTATAACATTCATTCTATCGTACGCTCAGTGGCTCAGACAGTTTAATTAATAATTTAATAACTATCCGATTTTTGCAAAACGGTATGTGACTTTTTTTCTTAGTTTGATTTGACACTTTCATAATTCACTTTTTCTCTGTAAATATAAACAGTGAAGATAATTATAATTTTATTTGTTCCTTTACCTTCAAAATCGCTAGTACAACTTGTACTACATGTATATTCGCTTTCTGATAAAGTATTTCCTGTTAGTTTTCTGTAATCTCGTATTTTATTCCTGTATTTGTCAACAAGTTTTCCGCGAGAAGTGATAGATTTATTAGTTTTTGAAAACTTCTTTGTTATAGGTGCAATATAATAGGTGAAACGTGTTTCTGTAGGGAATAGATGTTCAATCTCTTTGGATAATGCACAGAAATCTTCATTTTTTAATTGCCTGATGAATAATGTCAATAATTAATGAAATGTATTAATGAAAGGTAAAGAGGGAGAACATGTAGACTACCATCTACATGTTGTCTCTCTGATTAGTCACTTGAGTTATTTTCTATCTCTGCAATTTTCTACTTCTTAAGTATAACTTCTTAAAAACATGTGATTCTTTTTGTAATAAGTACATATTTTAAAATAATCTAAGATTATACAGTTTTAAGAAATTGAAAATGTAGCATGTCATCATAAAGACTGTCTTAAATAAGATGTTTATATAATAAAAAAATTACCCATCAATTATATTCAAAATGTGAGATAAAATTAAATCCACAATAATATTTCGGCATTTTCGGCTTAATAATTTACTTTTAGTATAGCATTTCAAAATTGCTTGCCCTTGCATTGTTGACTGTAAAATATTTTTAACAGAGGGTCGCTGTAATTTTTTGAATGTCGACGATCCAGTGACATTTTCCTTTTCTTCATCGCTGATCTCTTCATGAGATGGAGAATTATGTATATGTACGTCAGTATTTTTGTCCCGTTCCTGAAAATATTTTTGCATCAAATATATGACAAATTTTATTATATTAAAAAATAAGTATTGTAACTATAATATATGGTAAAATATTTACTCACAAGCGTTACATCTTTTGCTTCATTGAAGTGTTCTTGCCATTTTTTGTTAAATTTAATTCTGAGTCCAACTTGCGGAATTAATTCTTTTATTAAATTTGATGTTAAATGCAGTATTGAATCTTTATCAATACAATTTTCTGTAAACCAATACATACATTGTGTGTGTGTGTGTGTGTGTGTGTGTGTGTGTGTGTGTGTGTGTGTGTGTGTGTGTGTGTGTGTGAGAGCACACAGCAGCAGGAAGGTATTTATAATCGTTAAGGATTTAAAATAATTCTCGCGATTGTATTTTGATACCAATTACATATATCTATGACAAATTTTATTATATTAAAAAATAAGTATTGTAACTATAATATATGGTAAAATATTTACTCACAAGCGTTACATCTTTTGCTTCATTGAAGTGTTCTTGCCATTTTTTGTTAAATTTAATTCTGAGTCCAACTTGCGGAATTAATTCTTTTATTAAATTTGATGTTAAATGCAGTATTGAATCTTTATCAATACAATTTTCTGTAAACCAATACATACATTGTGTGTGTGTGTGTGTGTGTGTGTGTGTGTGTGTGTGTGTGTGTGTGTGTGTGTGTGTGTGTGTGAGAGCACACAGCAGCAGGAAGGTATTTATAATCGTTAAGGATTTAAAATAATTCTCGCGATTGTATTTTGATACCAATTACATATATCTATGTTTTAAAGCATTAACTGGTTAGGTTATATAGATATATAAAATAATATAGATATTACCTTTAAAGCGATCAACGAGAACTTCTAAATCCCATGATTTCAGTAATTCTTTCACGTAATCATCCATCACAATATATTTTATACTTCACAGTGAAATCAAAACGAGAATAACCATAAAACACGTTGTAATATATGTGTGCGTTTCGAATTGTATGATTTCCACTTCTGATGGAGGATCAAAAGTTTTTCTCCGCGTTAGAAACGTGATAACTGTGACTGATCAGAAAACTGCGTCTCACAGAAACACATTCACAAACTGCTACATATCACGTATCTACATAATGGCGCCTGCCCATAGAACGTGGCAACGCTTGCCACGCGTCACGCGATGATGAAATCGTAGCGCGGAAGAATCTCGCGCGAGAACCAATCATGGAAAAACAACCTCCCTCCATCACTGCTCAGTCGCGGTTTTCGCGAATAACAAGTCTTGTGTCCACGATGTTAGATAATCGATCTAAAATCGATCTGAAATCTCGAATGAAGAACGAATTAATCAATTGCATTAGAAGAATTAATAAATCATATATATGACCGAATGTTCAAATATGATTTATTTAATTCTTTTCTATCTGAGATCTCGGACCGATTCCTAAGCATCGTGGACACAAAGCTTTAGGGTACGATTCACTTAATACTGAAAATGCTTGTACAGTTTCAGAAGACTGCGATATATCTGTACGGCGCTTTGAAGTGTAACGTCAACTAGATCTTAAGATGAACACTGATCCTTGTGATCACATAACACGTTCGAATCAAATACACGATAATAATGCAAATTAATATCTGTAATTTGGAACAACAAAATAATTTTGCTGCCTAGGAATACAACTTTTGATGTACTAATCAAATTATAATTAATTTGAAGAAGCAGTAATATTGAATCAACTATACTTATATGGTATTGATTCAACATTAATTTTGTTTTGCTAAAGTAGTTTCTTCATTTAATTGAAAAAATCGATGAGTTTATAGAATGAAATATTATTAGTTAGTTCAATTAGTTAGTTCGTTTCCTATTGTTAAATTCATTCTGTACAACTAAACTGATTATTTGAAGGAAACAACGAAGCTATTTTAACACAACAAAATTTATGTTAATTCAATGTCACATATGGATGTTGAATCAATATTGCTGCTTATTCCAATTGATTATAATTTGATTAATATAACAAGAGTCATAGTTCATTTAATTAAACTTGGCAACAAAATTATTTTATTGTTTTAAATAAAAGATATTGATTCGATGTACTACTACATATTTGACTCAAATATATTAGTATTTCGACTAAACAAATCATAATCAACTAAACGCATTTAGTTCACTTAACAACTTTTTTTTCTCAGTGTAGGAAAATTAGAATAGTACACATGACGTGAACTATAATGCTTATTGTTTTTAATTGAACTTGCATTTTTTGCATTTCGGTTGATCTTTCCTCTTTTTCTCTTCGCATTGTATGAAAAAAGTGGAAAGTTAAACCGTGCATATTACTCATTTGATTTTTATATCGAATTGTACGGATATTATGTATTATTTAATAAAAAAACCATGTTACTTACACGATGTGACGACGCAACAGCCAATCAACACACACGCACAAAAGTGCACACACATTTCCTCCATTTTGTGAGCACTTCCGATGTATGTCCAGACTCTCTACTCTAGGGACTCTAGTTTCATCTAGAGTTCCTCTCGTAGAGGTTTCATTTTCGTTCTTCTCTTTTCATTCGAATAAATTTAAACAAAAGTTTTGTAATTATAGAATTGATATAGATTATTTATTCAAATTGTAAAATTTTAAGTAAAAATCTTAAAATTGCCGCCCACCAGTACCAGCCGCCCCTAAGTTATAGCTTCTCTAGCCTATATGATAATACGCCCCTGGATCCCCCCTCCCTCCTCGTCCGACTCCCCGATCCGTGGGAGCCTGCCGAGTACGGAGACTTTCTCTTCCGTTTACGAAGCATCTTCTAACAAACGTCCCCGCGTGGGCGACGAAGATACGGCGGCCGGGGAGTCCCCGGCAAAGGCTTCGCATGTGGCCCCGCCTACGCGCATCTTAAATCTTAACAATGTGAGTATAACTTATGATGAGGGGAATCTTTTTCATGTTTGTGAAACGTGCCGCCGCGGGCGAAGATGGGGGTTCTCGTCTTGACTCGGTTGCGGTCGCGCGAGTAATGATGCGTATCGCCAACGGAAAAATTTTGAAGGTTAAATCATCTGGACGCAGCAGAGTGGCCGTGCACTTTTGTGATCGAGCAGCTACGAACGATGCCCTCACGCATCCGTTGCTTAAAGATAATGGCTTGATAGCCTTTATTCCCGCTTTTCGTGTTATGCGCATTGGCGTGATAAGGGATGTACCTCTGGATATCTCCGATAACGACATTATTAATGGCTTCATTTCGCCATGTAAGATCATTTCAGTAAAACGTCTGAATACCAGAATACGTAAGGAGGGTGAATTGATCACCTTACCTTCGCGTACGGTCATGATTAAGTTCCTTGGTCATTCCTTGCCGCGCTCGGTTGTCTTTATGCACGTTAGCTTCCTTGTCCTTCCCTATTTTCCGAGAGTCCTCATGTGCTTTTCATGTTTGCGCTACGGCCATGTCAGTGCCGATTGTAAAGGCAGACCGCGTTGTGCGCGTTGCGGCAACTCTAAACATTCGGCCTCTGAAGAGTACCCTAGATTGCACTCACCTCCTGTGTACTGCAATTGCAGGGGGAACACTTACCCTCCTCAGCCGTGTGTCCCGCTTACGTGCGACAGAAACAAATTTACGCCTACGCGGCGATCGAAAACGTTTCTTATTCTGAGACACGCCTTAAATTTGGGACCACCTCTCCTCCGACTTCTCCTCCTCCCAACCCCTTTCATCACAAGGAGTTTCCATCGCTTTCTAAATCCACTCGCCCTCCCCGTGTTCCTGTCGATTACTGTAACATTTCTTTTCATGACACCATCGGGAATATTCTCGAGTTTGCAGACATGCGACAAAACATTTCTCGTTCTTACGCTGAAATAGCGCGATCAGCTCCTCAAACCAAACATGCTTACCCGCATTCACGCCGAGAAAATGACTCACGTGAGCATCTGGCAAACTCTTTTATGCAACTCAATAATCGTAAAACTAATGACGGTGGATTATCGGACCGTCACTCCTCGAATCCTTATATCAAACTTCGTGAAACCCACAACTCTCTTCTTTACGCACCCAATGGCAGACTTTCCGGTCTTGCCTCTTCTCACCCCCCCTCGTCCAATCCTTCTATCCCCTCATCCTCACCCGCCTACTTCTTCCCTCCTTCTCACTCCATCCTTCCCTCCTCCCCCTCCTCTTTCCCAGACTTCCAAGCATATGGCACCACACACATAATACACGTAATTATCTCGTTTCTTCTACAATTCCTACGTAATACCCCATTGTCGCAATTGAGCATGAATGACTACGAACTCTATGATAGCCTTTATTCCCTCTTAACTCCTATCAACGCATAATGAGTTATTTGTAAGCTCTACGGATACTTTACTGGAATTGCCGCGGCGCCCTTGGTAAAAAGGCTGATATTGAAAAATTGTTCGACGAATCTTATTTCTTGCGGAAACTTGTGTCAACGCTGACCATGACTTTCGGGTGCGTGGCTTCGATTGTCTCCGCATAGACGCTAATATGGCCGATGTTAGGGGTATGATCGCCCTTATTCGCAACCCTATTATTTACTCCCCCCTCGATCTCTCATCTATGATTGATAACTCCTTTGAAGCCCTTGGCATTAAGATTTCTTTTAACAATTTTCATCCTTTTTTGATCGATGTCTACAGACATACCAATGTACCGGCTTCTAACTTTGCTATTTCGTCTCTTACCTCTTTTGTCGTTGATCATCACTTTTCTATTCTTCTTGGGAATTTCAATGCATATCACCCGATGTGGGATGGCACTCATCCGAATGGTGCGGGCCATGTTCTCGGCAAATGCATCGACGACCAGCATCTTGTGGTTCTCAACCCCCCCTCTTCTCTTACATATATCTCCTTTTCCCCTTACTATACTTCCACCATTGATATTGTCGCTTTCCCACAAATATCCTCCCTTTGTGAAGCACAAGTTCTTCCCGAACTCCATGGGAGCGATCATCACTCTCTTGAGATCTGTGTCAACTGGTTAGTCAGAACGTCCTCCGTTTTCTCTTATAAGATCAATCTTTCCAAAACTCAACGGGACGGGGTTAAACAATATCTTGATAATAACTTTAAAGTCATTTCTCAAACCGTTAACTCCATTCCCTCGGACGATCCTATCACTCAATATAATACTTTTCTAAAACTCACCTCCATCAGCTACGAGAGGTTTTCTCCCCCGAAACCCCCCGTTAATACTCGATCCTCTCG